CGGAGCCAGAGCCAGAGCCCCCGCTCAGCCCGCGCAGCCCCGCCCCGCGGCTGCCCCCTGCCGGCCGGAAGGGTCTGCACGCAGCACAGGCTGCTCGCTCCACGTCTGCCCAGCGTGACATTGAACTCCGGAACCCTGGGAGACACTTGTCTCACTACACGTTGTGATTGTGGGTGTATAGTATGCAAAGAGGCGAGAGGCGGACGGAGCTGGCGGATGTACGTTCACCCAAAGAAACAAACCCTAAAACTCACTTCGCTGAGACATTGTCACCGTGTTGGACCGCCGGTTTGAATGGTGTTACAGATGGGGAAAGGGACGGGGTGGCCGGCTCCGCAGGCAGAAAGTGAACCAGTAAAGCTAGATGTACACGAGAAAGTAAGATTTGCCAATGGATGATAAGTTTCATGAGCAGACGGGAAGGCCAGTGTGTGTGTGTGTGTGTGTGTGTGTGTGTGTGTGTGTGCATATGTGCGTTGGAAGGAAGAGCAGACAGCAAAAGCTACTATGTCTGGGTAACCCCGATTAACCAGCAGCTTTGGACTTTGCAGATGGAGCTCTGTACCCACAGACAACTGACCTCTTTCCACTTATCCCTGCTTATTCTCTCAGAGCTCCTTAAGCAGGAGATGGGATTTCTTTCTCCCCAGGGCCACCACACACACCAACACACCTGCCAGCAGGTAGGTCTTCCCGCCGTCTTTACTGAGACAAACGTGTGCTGGGGAGACCTGGCCGGAGCTGACTTATCTTTCAAGCAAGTTATGTAATCAGGGAAGCCCCAGTAGAGGCCTGCGAGTTGGTCAGTGTTCGCCTACACCTCGCCGGGAAGCGAAGATGACTTGGTATTTAAGCAGAATGCAAACACCGCTTCAGACGGAGAAAAGTACCCTCAAGTGAAATCTACAGCGTGCTACTAATGCCGAGGCAGGCATTCTGGGGTTCCTCTTCCTCCCTCAGTGCCTCCCCAACCCCCCGGATTAGCTAAAGGAAACAAGATGAACTGCCAAGTTCACCAGTAGCTCACAGGGCAGCCCCGCAGCCTGAAGACCTTCAAGGCTCCCCAAATGTCCCCAAACAGTCTTCAGGCTCCCCGGTGAGCTTGGCAGTACATCCCTCTCTTTCCAGGCTGGAGTGGAACAATGTATAGTTTAAAAAAATCTCAAATGTTATGAAAATGTAAAAATATACCACCTAACGTGGTAAGCTAACTGAGTTTAAGTCTCCTTCTCTTTTCTTCTAGCCAACACTATTTTTTTCTATTTCAACACCATCTTAATCATGACCAGGCGGTTATTTTAGTCAGCATTTTTCTGACACAAGCATTGTCTTCCTGCCCACAGCCTGTTCCAAGGAAACCCTGCCCCACCAAGTGTCCCCGGTCTCATGGGGTCCTGTCTGCTACAGCCACATTTTGTGGGGCGAGGAGCGGGCACCTCAAGGAGAGAATCTGTGACACGCTGGCCACCAATGGCCTGGCATGACAGAGATGAAGCCAACTGGCAAAGGGCGAGGTGTGGATAAGGACAAAGGAAGAGAACTGGATGCCTTCACAAGGGGTGAACAGGGCAGAGAGAGGGAGCAGAGAACAGAGAAAAAGGCAGGAGGAAGCAGGACCAAGAAGCCATTAGGCCCAACTGCGTTCTCATTTTTTATGATTCCCCTCACCATTCTACGTTCCACAGCCCAGGCTAACTCTCTTTCAGGGAGTTCTATCCTGACTCAGACGCCAAATGTTTTCAACTAGCCAAAAACCAGAACCTTAAGGAAATAGTGTAGGTGGCTAAACATCAATGGTAAGAAATGGGGAAAATAGGAACAATACCGTGCTGTGATCTATCAAAGCAGGGACTTTGGAAACACAAAAGGTCAGAGGACATCAGGTGCCAAGGGCAAGGGAAGCCCAGGGGACGGATGAAGCAAGCACGCCTAGAGCCCACCCTTCCCAAGGAAGGCCCCGGCACTCAGGCACTTGCTTCATTAGACCATTCTGCATGCTTCTCCAACCTCTCTATTTTCAGTCAGGAGTGGAACAATGTATATTTTAACATAAATTTTAAAAGTTATAATAATGTAAAAATATACCATCTAACATGTTATGCTGAGTTTAAGTCACTCTCTCTTTTCTTCTAGCCAACCCTATTTTGTTCTATTTCAACTTCATCTTATTCATGACCAGGCAGTTATTTTAGTCAGAATTTTTATTGGTTCCAAGGTCTGTACTGAACTAATATGACAGAACTACTAAAAAGCAAGTTTTCAAAATAGAATGAAGAAGTAGCTAAATAGGGTCACAAGCCATTGGTGGGTCCAGATGCAGGTTGAGGGTCACTTTTCATTCATTTGCATTCTCAAAATATGCATTTTTAAAATTTAGGGAATGTGTATGATATCCATTTATTAAGGTTGTCAGCAATAAAAAAGTCAAGTTCCTTTACTGTACTTTTAGATTGTTGACTGAAAGACATTTAGAATGTGAACTTAAACAAAAACCTTCCTCAGAAAAGAGAGAACTGGCAAGAAGATTAGGAGTGAAAAGTACAAAAGGATGAAAACAATGAGACAGGCAGAATCAGCAAATACATTTGAAAATGGGATTCAGTCGTGAAACTAGACTTCCGTGGCTAGAACAGATACATTTCTTTCATTGTTTAATTGTTCTATTTCTGAACCCACTGAATGAATTAGAACAGTTTTTTTGAGCAAGAAAGAAATCAGGGCCTGATCATTCGCTCAGCAGGGGCAAGGAGATGAGAAACACAGATGAGAGCAAGTTAGGCTGCACTCTGCTTTAGCTCCCCACTCTCCAGCCCAGACCTGAGTTTTACTTTCCCATTGTCATTTCCATTTCTCCATTACCTCTCCCTTCCCTAACCCTCTCCAGGCACATGTGGACCACATCCCAAGACAGGCCTGAAATTTGAGGATAACCTCTTCTTAGCATGTTTCCCTGTCTGTTGATTAGAGTGGTGGATTTTTTGTTTGTTTATTTTTCAGTCATCTTAGAAATAGGACTACCATCATGCTCGACTCTATGTCATTTGACATCCATGATGCCAAACAAAGTGCTTGGTTTTTCAGAGGGATCTAATTTCCGAGGACCCATCTGAGACCATCAATTATGAATTTATTTCATAAGAATGTCCCAACAGTAGTCGGAATGGGTGCTGTTCAGGACATCCCAGGAGTATGCATCTTTTAAACAGTTCCCTGTTCCCTTTAATCCTCCGGTTAAGATCAAATTGCAGACAGCAGCAGAAGATTGATATGAAACTAAAATAAAATCATGCAGCAGATGCAAGCACGTGTGAAATGAGACAGAAAAGACAGATGGGCAACTTGAAGTTTGACAGCTTATTGGAAAAGTCTCAGAGGAACTTAAAGGTTTAAAAAATAAAACACATTAGTCTTCTTAGGAGGATACAGATACATGTTAAACACGCATTTCACATGTAAGGAAATAGTGTTGACTCTGTCTGTGTTAAAGAAAGCAACTGTAAGAAACAGCAAAAAGGATAGTTTACCAAAGGCAACCTCACAGCCTCTGTGAGCCTGATGCGCAGGAAAACTCAATTATCTATCTGGAGAGCATCCAGCAGTATCATGCTTAATGTGAGGCATTGGAGCTGCTGAAGTCAGAGCAGGACACACATGCCCAGCATGGCTGCAAAGTGTAATATTTTTAGCTGATAAAATTGCTTTCCTGGAAACCCAGAAGAATCAACTGCATAATCATTATAGTTAATAACAAAATTTAGAATGTAAAAACAAAGTCAACCTGGAAAATTATATTAAAAGTGAAAGGATGGAAAAGTAAGGGTTTTCAGTTGAGTTTTAAAAATAGCCATCATACAAAGTACCTTTTCTGACCACAGCAAGAAGTTAGAAATTAATAGCAGAAATAAAACTGGAAAACTTAAAAATTTGTGAAAATTAAGCAGCAACAACCAATGGATCAAAGAAAAAATCACAAAGGGAGTTGAAAGAACCACACAAATATACTACATGAAGAGGAAACTACAGACCAATATTCCTTATGAACATTGATGCATAAGTCCTCAACCAAGTAACAACAAGCCAAATATAGCAGCATTTTAAAAGAATTATACATCATGACCAAGGGATTTATTCCTAAATGCAAGGATGGTTCAACATACAGAAATCGTTTATTTTAATACACCACAGTGACAGAATGAAGGAAAAACATGTAATATTTCACTTGTAAGGACATACAGAATAATGATTTCAAATGATGAAAAAAGTCATTTGACAAAACTCATTATTTCAAGTGATGAAGAAAATCACTTAGCTATATATGAAAAACCCACAGCAAACATCATATCAATGGTTCATGACTGAAAGCTTTTCCTCTAAGATCAACAATAAGACAAGGGTGCTTGCTTTCAGTATTTTATTCAGCACAGTACTGGAAGTTATGTTTTGTTTAGATATATTTTTGGCTATTAGTTCACTTTGTAGATCACTATTCTCTTCACTACTATATGGAGGGTTACAGTGAATGATAGTTATTGATTTGCATCTTTTACCCTTTTATGTGAGCTGAACTAGTTTTATAACTTCTAGGAATAACGCCAGCTTACTCTGTGCTGGGCCCTGTGCTGTGTGCTCCGCAGATAGCTCACTTTAACTTTGTA